CGAGGCGATGGATCAGGACGCTCCGGATGCCGCTGCGACAGGTGCAGCCAACCTGCCCGAGGGTGTTCCTGCCAGCGGTGTTGCGGAAGGCACCATCCCTGCGGCGCTCGACCCGTCGCACGCCGACTTTACCGGCAATGCTGAGGGCAACGTCAACTGGCCCTCGCAGATCTTTGGCGCCACTTCGGGCATGGACGATTTCTGGGGCTCGCTCCTTCCGCCCGGCTTCTCGCAGACTTCGATGCACGATCTGTTCGGTGCGGCGAGTGTGGATGGTCCGGGCGCCAACGGGCATGCGCACCTGGCGGCCGAGGCTGAAGTGGTGGAACCCTCGCAGCACGCGACCAAGTTCGGCATGGGAGGCGGAGGCGCGTTCGACTTTGGCGGCGGCGCGATTGGCAATGGCAACGGCGGCGTGCCGATGAATTCGGCAGCGGCCAGTGCGGCGCTGGCGAACTCGATGAGTATGACCCCCGTCGCATCGGGTCATTTCTCGGGCGCCAATACGCCGCATGGCTTGGGGAGCAGAAGCAGAAGAACGAGTGCAAGCCACTTCAATCTCGGCGGTCTGTCCAGTGTCAACTTTGACTTTTCGTCGTAGCAGTAGCATCCCCAATGACAAGGGCGTTTTTTGGTTAGGGAGTGCGCAAGAGAGGTGAGTGGCTGCGAGTGTGGTAAGGAGTCTGTGCATTCGACGGCGGAGTGTGAGAGCGCGGAGAAAGCGTGGAGCCGAGCTAGGTTCGTACGCGAAGCGTGGCGAGCTTGTGCAACGGGCGGGCTTGAAGCTCGTCTCTGCCTTTTGCACCTGTGGGGATGCCGCGCAATGAGGTCAGGTGGTGGAAGGTGAGATATCGGGGCACCTTTTCCCGCGCCCATTGGATCTTGGAGCAATCCAGTCGAACATTCGTCGGGAACCAAGTTCCTTATTCGTACACTAGCGGCGCCCGAGTTCTAGCGACGCTACTGACAGTTGCCATGTCTCCACCACTGCTCATCCCTTTAGCCCGGCCAAGGAGCGTCTCAAGTCCACAGTCAAGCCAGGTGTTGAATTGTTGTAAGCTGCGGATTACTGTTCGAACTCGAACGGATACATGTCTGGGTCTGCCGTTTTATCGCGCACTTCCACCTTTGGATCAGCAGGTGGGACGGGGGCAGCCGCAACGGCCAGCGCCTTGTACTGAACGCCCATGCCCGTTTCGTCGATCAATCGGTTCGCCGCATCAATGATCCTCTTGCGCGCCGCGTCGTCTTTGCCCTGAAGCAGACGGTCGACACGCATCTGCAGACCCATCCCCACCAGCAAGTCGGCTTGGTCGATCGGCCCTGCGTAGCGTGCATTCGTCGTATGCAGCGCCGACTTGAGATGCAAAAAATCGACGTTGACCGTGAGGTCAACTGCACCGGGTGATTGGAAGACGTCGACGAGTGCGTGCTGTTTAAAGGCTCGGAAGGAGGCTCCGTATGCCTGGTCTCCTCCGTAGTCGATGATCAACCCCACACCTCCAGCCGAGTTGGCTGCCAAACGCTGCTGTTCCTCTTCGTCGTACTGTTGATTCTGCTCTTCGGTGGCAGCAGGATTGCGAGGTGGGGAGGCGGGTCGACCAGCGACGAGTTCTCCTACGCGGCGTGCGACAGCCCACGACTCGGGAGACACTTCGACGCGCTGTCCCGGCTGGAGCGCTGCAAAGCGCGGATTGTTCTGCACCAGCATCTGCGCCCACGGCGTGGGCGTGGGCGAAAGCACGAATCCAAGCTCCTCCTTCGCCGGTCCCATCTCCTGTCCCGGTCGCAGCACTGTGATGCTGCTCTTGGGCTTGATCCCCACCAGCACCTCGCGGAACTTTCCGTCCACATGCTTCTCGAAGATATGCGTCGGCAGCGCATCGAAAAACTCGTGTGCCGTCACGATGCTAAACTCCTCCGCCACAATCGGCACCATATCCACGCTGGGGAACCACTCCACCACCACTCCATCCTCCCCCACCTCTTCCTCGGCATCCACTACGCGCTTACCCGCCGCAGCTAGGGCGTCGCGAATCGCAGACAGCTGCAGCTCCATCAATCCTGCACTCGTCTCCACCAGCTGGATGCGCTTGAGCGTAGCCATGAACGGTCGGAACGAAGCAAACGTTCGCAGCATATCGGCCAACAAAGTGCCTTTGCCCGGTCCGAGCTCAACGAGACGTGTGGAGGTGGGGGAGCCTACGGCCTGCCATCGTGCCAGGTAAAAGATCGCCAGAAGCTCGCCAAACACCTGCGAGATCTCGGGCGAGGTGATAAAGTCGCCGCGCGAGCCGAGCACCTCGCGTTCCGTCGCGGGCGAGTTGGCCGAGGCGTAGTAGCCCTGCATCGGGTCCAGCAGACACGTGCGCATGTACGTGGAGACCGTCATCGGCCCCGATGCGCGCACACTGTCCAGCAGGATCTCGCGCAGACTCTTGTTGGCTTTCTCGCCGACAACCGCCGTCGGAGCAGGTGCAGCAGGGTGGCCTTCTTCGTGCAGTGGACGACAGGTGGAGAAGGCCCGTCGTGTCAGCAGTGCACGGGCGAACTGCATGGTCGCTGAAGATGCCGGTCCAACGAGGCCCTGCGATGGGAGGCCTGCAGTGCCGCGTTGTGCCACGCGGCGCACTGCGCTCGCTGCCACGGGCGCGGCGGGAGGCGGGATGGCGAACGACGCAAGGCCTGTGACGGTCTGATCGTCCCCGTGCAACTCGGCGGCAACAATCTGCTCGACTGCCTCCGTGGCGTACGCGACGCAGTCGTTGAGGCTGACACCAGTATAGCTCGCGCCGACGAGGGTGAGCCTGTGCGCCAGATCAGCGTTGCCGGCGAGCGCCTTGTGCAGCTGGGCCATGCGCACCGGATGCCCGACTAGGTACCACGGAATACACTCGTGCTGCATGGTCGCCTTGATCGTCACCTTGCTCGCGTCGCGCAGCAGGTCCGCATCGATGCCGAGCTGACGCGAGAGCGCACGCACCGCACGTGCCTTCACCTCGTCCTCGCCCGGCAACTGCTCGAGCCCCGCCCAGTGCGCACCACCCATCATGACTGTGAGCTTGACGGGGCGACGCGAGGGCTCAGCCGCGTCCTGGTCCGGCACCGCATCGCTGTCGAATACGACGCCGAGGATGCCGTCTTCGTTGTCCGGCGTCGTGCGCGGGATGAGGTAGCCGAAGCCCTGCACTGGCACGAGAGCGCGACCCGCTTCGGCAGCAGCGCTGGGCGAGATCACCACGTTGACCACCGCAACATTCGCGGCCGGATTGTGCTTGAGATGCGGCAGCTCATCGCTCGGCAGGATGTCGGCGAGCTTGGACGATGGGATGCTCGAGATCACGCGGTCGGCTTCGATAGACTCTCCTGACGCAGTGGTGAGCGTAAGTTTGCCGGACTCGTCGATGCTGATAGCGCGAACGCTTTCATTCGTGCGAAGCTGGACATTGGGGAGCGCTGCCAGACGCTGCTCCAGAGCGGCGACGATCTCCTGCACGCCCTCGGGGAAGCTGTACACGCTGATGCCCTTGAAGCTATCCACGAGCTGCTTACCCAGTTGTTGCTCGACGTGCTTGAGGCGGTCCTCCTTGGCGGCCTTTGCTGCTGCTTCGGGCTCGGGCAGCGGGCGGTGACGCTTGTTGCGCTTGGCGGGGAGCATGCTGCGAAGCACGCTACCATGAACGCGCTCCGCTTCCCACAGGAACGGCATCACGGCACGTACGCTGAGCTTGCGCGTATCGCCTGCATAGATGCCGTGGATGACAGCCGAGACGAGGTTCTCGGCGACACCCTTGCCGAAGCGGCGCGAGACGAACGAGTCGACGCTCTCGTCGTCGAGCAGTTCGCGCTGCTGCAGCCGCTTCTTCTCGGCCTGAGACTCGGAGCGCGGTCGGAGGAAGCGCGAGGGTACACGCGGCTCGCGCATGATGCTGGGTACGATGGCGCGAAGGAATGGGAGCTTGAATAGGGCGGACAGGAGCGAGGGGATGCTGCTGGGCAGCTTGGCGAGTCGGTCCGGGAAGTAAAGGTATCGGTTCTGTGCTGAAGGAGCCGTCTTGGGCACCCGCAAGAGACGCTCGAGAAGCCCAAGCGATTGGACGAGCTGAAGCATCACCAGCCCAGAGTAGCCGGCGGGACGGATACTGCGCGGGCCCATCTCGACGAGCGCTGTGGGGCTTGGCGACGTCGATGCATCGGAGGGCAGGCTGAGTCGTTGAGACTGGATCCAGCCGCCGAGGCGACTCTGCTGTTCGAGGAGGACCACGTCGTATCTGTCTTGAGGTAGCTGCTGCGCGAGACGGTAGGCCGAGGTCAATCCTGCGATGCCACCGCCGAGCACCGCGATGCGCTTCTTTTCGCTCGCAGCGGCGGCGAGCAGCGCGGACGAGGTGGCGAGACTCCGACGCGGAGGAGCGATCGCCTTTTGCGACGCGCCTCGCAGGCCGAATGCCATACGTGAGGCGAGCATCATTGTGCCAGGGTCGATGGTGGGCTGATGGGTAGCAGCACAGGAAAGCGTTCCGGCTCTTTGTCACTTTTCGGAAGATGTGTGGAGTTGCCGGCATCTTTAGGACACCTTCTTGAGCGGTCAGGATTATGTCATTGTCTCATATAGGTCTAACATGGAAGAAGAAAATCCGGAAATCCTCCGCGACCTTCCGACCCGCGAAGAACTCGACGAAATTCAGGGCAGGCGCGCAAAAGCCCGATTTCGACTTGATCTGTCTGGACGGGCGAATACAATTTTGGCGCGCGATTTGTAATCCGACGCTTCGAACGTGGCCAGAGCCGCGCCCAAGAGCCAGAGAGCCTAGGAGCTGGCAGAGAGCGTCGTTCGGGTGATTCGTGCGAACGGAAGAGGATTTCCAACGCGGGCGGAATCCGCCGCCTCGTCGACTGCCAACGCCCGGCTGGAGAAATCGTCAATGGCCGTTGGTCGCCATCATTCTCGACTTTCTCTCCACCATATCACTTTCACCCTCTTGTCACGTATAGCAAAGATGGTTCTCGTACGTACCAGCACCTCCGACAACACAGCTGCTCGCATCCCGCTGCCTGCTCGCTTCTCGGTGCAGAGGCCACAGACTCTTCGACTTGATTGCTGACCGCTCCTCTTGCTCTTTTGCCGCTTCTTCCTGCTGCTACGCGATACATGCATATCTCTTCCACCTCGCCATTCTCATTCGCATCCAACACTTGCACCGCATCGCATCGATACTGATACGCCACCATCACTCGCATTTCGACCTGCAATCTTGGTTCTTTATACTCGCCACTCTCCCCAACCCACCGCACCAACACACGCACACACTTGCACCTTTGCAATTCTTTGGCATCGCAGGCACTTTCGGGACTCAGCCTGGCCAAGTACGTGCAGTCGTCGCCAGCGCTCATGCGCATGCTCAAGCCCGTCGCCAACGCCTACGCCAACGCCACGGGCCACCGTCAGATGGGCCTGCGCTACGACGACCTGCTCGTCGAGGAGTCGCCACGCGTCCAGAAGGCGCTCTCGCGACTGCCCGAGCGCGAGGCCTACGACCGCGCCTTCCGCCTGCGCCAGGCCAGCCAGCTCTCCGTCCTCCACCGCGAGCTTCCCAAGGACCAGTGGCTCCCCGCCAAGGAGGTAAGCATTTCATAGTACCGTCCTGCGCATCGCTCGTCCTCTCCATCTGCAGCCATGCCAAGGTGCGGCTTGCTTTGCGGACCAACTGCGCTTGTGGCAATGCGTAGGACCGAAAACAATCTGTCCGTAAAAAGCAATTCATACTGACGTCTGTTTTCGTCGCTCACTACAACAGGACAAGCGATACCTCACGCCTTACGTCGCCGAGGTCGCCGAGGAGGAGTCCGAGCGTGCTGCGTGGGACACCGTCGCCGTCAAGAAGGGCCACTAAATCATCTCACAAGGATTGCACTCGACCGTCTTGTGATCTCATGAAATCCATACACTCTTGCTCGTGTTCAGAAGCTGGAAGCTGCCACGTCCTTGTCTCGGGCTGCTTGCACAGTGTTGCATTGCGTGAGGAAGACGAGACACAAGCGGCTCATGAGGACGTTTCGTGAAAAAAATGATGCGGGTGTTAGGACTTGGGGGCGTCTTTGAAGATGCCGATGATGAGGGCCCATCCAAAGACGATCTGGGCGACGGCGATGCAGAAGAGGAACTGGATCCTACGCGAGCGCTGCGCATGCGTGATAGTTTGGCTCGATGGTGAGCTGGGGTCGGGCAGTACGACGTAGCGCAGACTGCGCAGCAAGAAGAAGGCATTGGCTGCAAAGCAGTACAGGAACACGGACCAGTACACCAGCCCGCGCACCTTGAGCAGCCCCACGAGCAGCGTGATGAGCGTACCCACAAACTTGTAGCCCGAATACGCGAGCAGATCCATCATCGTATGGTCGCCCTGAATGTTGAGCAGGTACGTGCCGAGCTTGATGGCGGCGAGTTCGACTAAGACGATGGCGAGCGCGCGCGACGCACGCAGCCCCAGCACCTCGGGATGGAAGCGCGACTCCAGACCCAGGATCACACTCGTCACAATGATGTATGTGACGAATGCCATGGTGGGGATATACAGGTCGGGTGAGTTGACGTCGTCGCGCGGAGGCAGGTAGCCGTCTGCACCGGATGAGGCCGTCTTGACCGCCGACGTCGACTCTGCATATGCCGACGACACATGGCCGCCGCCCGACGAATGGCGGTGTGCGCGCGACCACGGCTTGTGACGCCAGGGAAACAGCACGATGCGCAGCTTGTGCAGCACGTACGAGTTGGACACGTTGAAGTAGTGCTTGAGCACCGGCATGGGCAGGAGCGCATTGAAATTCTTCTGCACGTACTCGCCACCCACCGCCGCCATGTGCTGGCCGAACTGCACGCCCATCTGTGCGGTTGCATCGTTCATGATCGGTGGCCCTCCTGCACCGCCGAGTCCAGGGAATCCACCCCAGCCCTGCGCCTGACCTGCGTTGGGGCCGGGCGCATTGGGAAAGTAGCCCGCGTTGCCGCCCACCGGCGCGTACGAGGACGAGGCATACGACTGGTTGGGCGGTGACTGGATGGGCGGAGATGCGAATCGCTGGTAGCCGCCGCCGGCAGCAGCCTGCAGGTTGGCGGCCGGCCCACCGCGGCGGCTCGCCGACGATACGTGCGGGTCCGCTACGCTCGACTGCGGCACGGGGTTGGGCGAGATGGGCGGATCCGGCACCTTGAACGGCGGGTGTGTGGGGATGGGATGCTGGAGTGGTGGAGGCGACCTGGACGGATAGCCGTCGCCTTGTGGTTGGTACATGCTGCTCGTGTGGCTGTCGCGGTCGCAATCGAAGCCGAAACGTGATGCTTGGTGCAATGGAAGTTCGTCGCTTGGTTCGCAGAGTAATCAGATGTTCCGGTACGAGAGGGTCGGCCTGTGTCCGAGTGGGGCAGGGCGAGATGGATGAACTGAAGATACAACGCCGAAGAAACCTGGCAACGTGGAATCGTATCTGGAAGGTGGGGAAAGGGACGTGTGGAAGAGTCGACGACGAGCAGGGCCCGGCGCAGAGGCTTCCAGCTGGCCTGTGCTTGGCGGGACCGCGCCAGCAGCGCCCTCGCCCTCTCTCTCTCTCTC